GAAGGCTGGTGGTTCAAAACCACCAGGCACTCATCGGAAGGAAGATTGGGCCGATCTACTTCCGTACAGATACCACCTTGGAAACCCAAGGAGAGGTCTCTGTGAGTCAGATCCAACTCCACGACAGTGAGTTTGGTTTGGTTCTGGTTTTTGGTAAAAAGTCTTAGCTTATCAAATGGAATCTGACTTGATTTTTGGAAGATTGCAGATTTTTATCCTTGCCTGTTAGATTGTTTAGGGAAATCTAAAAGACCAGCAGCATTAACAGGGAGCCATGGAAGAAGAGGCAAACGCTCACACAAAAAAAACTCAAATCACAAAGGAATATGGAAAATTTTTTTGTGTGATTCTACATTTGTTGTGTGAAGCTTTTGAATTAGTTGCTGTAACAATGACCTAATAAAAGTTCTCTTGCAAATATGTACTGGCTTCTGTTAATAGGTGGGACAGATATGGCAACCTAAACCGGGAGAAAGAAATGTCATAAAATAGCATCACTCACTTTCACTAAGAAGATAATATTTAAGTAAAACCTTTATATCCTTAAGGAACTATGGAAGGGCAGTGGTTAAAGCATTCAGCTGCTAAACTAAAAGTTGGTGGTTCAAACCCACCAGCCTCTCCATGGAAGAAAGATAAGGCTTTCTGCTTCCTTAAAGATTTACAGCCTTGGTAACTGTATGTGACAGTTCTACTCTGTCCTACAGGGTCGCTATAAGTCAGAATTGACTCCATGGTGATGTGATGCATTTGGTTTGAGTTTTATATCCTTTGTCATAAATATTTATTCAGTATATGTGGATTGATAAATGGATGCTTGGAAAACTGTTATTTTCATTTTTTAAAAATTAAGAAAAAAAATTGGAGGAAAGTTGAGACAAAAATCATCGGTCAAATGATTTCTTTAAATAATAGGTTAAACTAGTTGTAGAAATGTTTAGCATTGCTTTTCACTTTTGAGAGAGAGATGACAGAAAAAAGTTCAGGGCCTTGGAGGCAGAGTGACCTGGATTTAAATCTTGGCTTTGCCACTTGCTGACTTACAAAGGCTTGTTATATAACCTTTCTGAGTCTCATTTTTTCATTTGTGTAATGAGAATAGGTATATATTATTTAGCACATATTGATTTTATTCATTACTGAATTTCATTCATTCTAAAATATTTTTTTGAGAAGTTACTATGTGCCAGAAATTTGTTCTACATGCTGAGGATATAGTAGTGAAGGTCATGTGGAGCTTTTATCTCTTTTAGTGGGGCAGAGGACAAATAATAAACAAACAGATACATAACATATTGGTAGTAAGTGCTGTGAAGGAAATAAAACAGCGTAGGAGAATAGAAAATGATGGGTGTGGAGAGAGGGATTGTGTGTTGGGCACAGATGACAATGTTCTTAAACATAGGTTCTTCAGGAAGTCCTCACAATGTCTTATTTGAGCAGAGACCTGAAGGAGTGACAGAGAAAATCATGTAAATTTCTGGAAAAAAAAAGTGTTCCCAGCAGAATGGAAACAATGCATGCAAAGATTCTCAAAGTGGGAACATATTTGCTATGTTCAAGGAGCAGTGAGGAGGTGAGGCCAGTGATCATGGACAGAAATGTGAGTGGTGGAAACCACTGGAGATTAGATCAAGAGGACATCAGGGCCAGACCATATAAGGCCTTGTAGGACACCTAGGACTTGAAATTAATTTTAAATGAAATGGAAGGTCATTGCAGAGTTCTGTGCAGAGAGTAACATATTTAAGTATTTGGCAAATTTTACTGACTTCTGTGTTAAGAATAGATGAAGCAGGATGAGGATGGGTGTGTTGTGGGTTAAGTATGGAGTGGAAACTAGTGCACAATTCAGTGGGAGAGCTGATAATGGAGTGGACCAGGGTGGTAGATGTGGAGGTGGTTGGATTCTGGATATGTTTTAAACGATTTCCTGACAGATTCGATTGGATGGGTGGGTGGAGGGGAGGTGAGAAAGAGAGAAGAATCAGGTATCTCTCTTAAGCTCTTTTTCGTCACCTGGAGGGATGGGGAAAACAGATGGTGGTAAAGAGAGCAGATTTATGAGAGACAGTGGAAATTAGGAGCTCTGTTCTGGATATGTTAAATACGAAATGACTATTAAATGGTGATACCGAAGAGGCATTTGCATATATGTGGGTGTGGTTTAGGGCAGAGATTGGGGCTGGAGGCACAAACATGGGCACCATCAGGCATTTAAAGCTGTGTGACTAGAAATAAGCAAAAGAGTGACCGTAGATAGAAGAGAGTGAAAATCTAAGGGACTGAACCCTGGAACTCTTCAACACTTAGAGACCAGCTAGATAGGAGTAAACCATCCAAGGAAATTGAGAAGGGACACACAGTAGCCAGTGAGATAGGTAGAAAGCCAAGTGAAGGAAACAGTCCAAGATGTAGGGAGTGTTTAACTGTGTCAGATACTGTTAATTGGCCAAGTAAGACGTTGATGTTGTTATTTGTTAATGAGATAAGGACAGAGAAGTAACTAGAGGACTTGATAATATGGGGATGGTTAGAGATTTTGATGGCAGCTCTGGTGGAAAGAAAGCCTAATTAGTTGTAGATTTAAGAAAGAATGGAGGAGAGAGAAAGTAGAGACAAAGAATAAGGCAACTCTTGTGAGGAGTTTTGTTGTAAATGGAACAGAGAATTGGGACCCCTAGACTTTGCAGTCTGCAACACTCTTGTCACACCAGGTCTGCTACATTCATTTATTATCTACCAGGCCCTTGTAAATGTTTGATATTTCACCTGTATTGTACAGGTTTTTGAGGTGCTCTGGTGGTGCAGTTATTAAAGCATGCAGTTTTTAATCAAGTGGTTGGTGGGTCAAACCCACAAGCTGCTCTGCAGGAGGAAGATGTGACAGTCTGCTTCCATAAAGATTTACAGCCTTGGAAACCTTATGGTGCAGTTCTGCTCTGTCCTGTAGGGTTGCTATGGGTTGGAATTGACTCCATGGCAAAGGGTGTGAGGTGTGATTGTTTTTTGTTTTTGTCAGGGTTTCAAAGATCATGTGATAAAAGCATCTGGTGTGAAACTATACATAATAGTTGTTATTGCTAAAAAAGAATAATGACTGACATGAAGGCCAAAATGTGTTACAAAGGTCCTTGATGTTTAAGGAAGAGAACATTTTTGTTTTATTCTAAAATGGACTCTCTCGAGTGTGTACTCTAGCATTTGAACAACTCCTTGTTCTCCCTGTGGGTGTTGAAAATTCTTTAAAAATGTATATCAGCGTAA